TTTTCTAATTTGTCTTAAAATATTCCTTTCAAAAATATTCAAAGATAGGTGCTATTAATATACTAAATAAAGCATCGATGAAGTTCATCTTATCTTATTGGACTGATTCACTGAAAAAGGTAAGTGCTTTTCTGATTTTGCTATTGTCAAATTTTCCAGTTGATGTGCCTACCCACTGTTTTCTTTTGCTGGCCTTTTATTCATCAAGTTTTTTGCACTTTTTCTTTCCTGGCATGAGCATCCTTGCTATTTCCCAGTACATGATAGCTTTGCACCTTTACAGAAAGGTCATATCCTTGCCATATCTAAAATATTGCCATGTTAACATATACCTGTAAGATGCTGAGTAAAGGTAGAAAAATGCACATATATTTCTAAGTGCACACCTTTCTTCAGAAAAAAACGTGAGTCAGCAAGCCCACAAGGAACATGACAGTTTATCAAATACTTGTTCATTTTCTCTGAAATTTGTTCTGAAGAGATAAGGTCAGTAGGGAGACAAGCTTAGGTAATTGTCCATTTGGCTGTTACAGGCAGGGAACCTTTGTGGTAGTACATAGGTAGAATAGGTCTACAGAGGATGCCTCTGATTAAGTCTTCTGGTATAAATCAAGGGCTGGATTTAAGATATTATTTGTGGTAGAATGGATAGAGAAGTTAAAATGTGAGAACCAGCTTTAAAATCTGTTAAGAATGTTTAGACATCAGCTTATGCTTTATTTGATTCACTTATTGAGTTCAGAATCCAAAGTCTATTAATAATAAAACCCAGATTTGCCCTTGAGCATTTCAAGGTTACAGATGCCTAGTCTTCCTGTTAGTGGGCTATAAATTCAACTTTGTCGCCTATGTTTGCCCTTGCAGTAAATGGGACACCATAATTTTGCAGTTTGCAGCTCGGGGTGAAGTTAAACTGCCCAGTTTGGACACTTTCATAATTTGGGGTCATTGGCCCAACTTGCAGTAAAAGGCTGAATTTTCATCATTAGGTCATTTGCGTTTTAAATGAATATTTTTATGTGGAAAGAATATAACCTGATCGACTGGAGAGAGCCCATCAACATAGCAAATGAGACTTGAATTTGCTTTTCGGCTTCGTCACTGATTATGCCAGTGACCTTAGGTAAGTCAGTCTGTTGCTGGTATTGCATTTGCCAAATAGGAACAATTAAGTCTTGCTCACCTCACAGGATTATTGAGATACTAGAATTATATAAAGTTACGGTAGTAATATTACTAAATGTTTAAATAGCATTGATATTTAAAGATCTCTAAAAGTGAGGGTGAATAGGGAAGGAACATGGAGAAATCCCTTATCTCCTTTATAATTTTCTCAACGTAGGAGCCCTTGCTTCTTTCTTTTTGTACTGAGGGTGGGGTGCATATTTTGAAAAAACCATCTCCTGGTGTTACTAACATCCCCCAACTCCACTCCCTACCCCCATTGCTTTTTGCTGATTGGTGTGTTGAAACAATCAGGATTGTCTTCTGCTCTGTCAATCTTTTCACTGTATCTCTGTATATATCAGTGAATAAAAAGGCAGCAGGGCACTTTAGAGAGGTGTAAATTCCAGGATTCCAAGCAAGTTTCAGTAACAGGCTGTTTGGACTATAGGTACCCCATTACTATCAAGATGGATTTTGGAAGATCTGTTGGCCAGCCTTCCCAGCGTCACTCATAAATGTCTTTTTGGGAAAAATAAGTGCCAATGGCCATTGTAACTGCCCAGGACTTCGGGCCTCAGAAGAGTTGTTTTTTAGTCTTTCCTGATTGCCTCCCCTGCCCCATTCATTCTTTGCCAATGCGTTGGGTTGCCCTGCTCTCCTAGCTCCCTCCCACCCCTGTTTTTCAATTCTTAATTTTCTTTCTATTGCCGAGAAAGGCATCAGCAGGAGAGAGAACGTTTATGAGTCCTAGCCTAGAGGCATTTAAACTTGAAACAGCTACTCTTTTTTTATTTTTATTTTTATTAAATGGTCATTTGTGTCAGAGATCCTATATGTATGAAAAATAAAAGTGAAGAGGCGTCTGCTTCAGATTAGTGCCTTTTTGACTTCTGCACCTATATTTTCAAGGTGATGTGGTTTTATTGCTCCCTTTTAGGGAGCCACTTTTCAAATCTCAGGTGACCAGACTGACTTGAGAATGCAGTTTGGCGCACGAATAAAATGGGACACAGTGTTCATTTGCAATTTTATTTTTTAAAAATGAAATATTCAAAGTACTTTTTTCTTTCAAATATCGACACATAATGTTTAACTTTAAATATTTACAGCATGTTGTTGTGATGCTCTTGTAGAAAAATGCATGCTTCTGGCCTGAAAGCCAGAGCAAAATGCAAAAGACCATTTAACTGCAGCCAGAGAACATGAACCTGTACAGTATCCAGTCACTTTTCAGCACAGGATTGAGAGCAGGAATACAAAACTGGAACCTATTGTTTCCTAGCAACATGGCTCAGGCCATTATAACACAATTTCCTGTATGATTAGAACCTCTAACTGTTGTTATATAGAAACTGAAAATCTTGGCATACACTGTAAACATCTTTACTTCTCATGAGAAAGTAAGCAGCTAAAAAGAATATTTTTCTGACGTAAAGGCTATACTTCTCTTTTTCACCTTCTTTCTTACTGATGCTTTTGCCAGAAGAATAGTAAAGATTTAGACATTGTCATGAATCATACAAGTAAAATATTTTCAAGGACACAATCTGATATACTAACATTTATTTAAGAGGTTAAAGTCCACCACTAAATCTAAGGAAAGATTTTTTTAACTGCCAAACACGTTTCCTTTGACAAATAATGTAAGATGACAACTGCCAAGACAAAATCCACAGCAAGTTTAACTCTAACTATTTTCAGTTACTGTTTAGGAAGTAATTTCTTCTTACACACAGTAGTATATTTGGTCCTTAATAGCTTTCACGTGGACACACTGAAACAGTCACTATTTTGTGGTTGAATTCTTTTTTGTTGTTGTTTGTTATTTTCTGGTTTTTTTCTTTGTTTTGTTTTTTTGCTTTTTTTGTTTTTGTTTTTGTTTTTTTTTGCAGAATAAAGAACCTTACAGAAGGCTGTGGAAGAGCAGTCTGAGATCTGAAGCACTAGTCAGGTCAGCTATGTGTACGTGAGTTCCTCTAAGAACACAAGAACGTTGCATCCAACCTGTAGCCTTCTGTTCTTCCACAAGCTATAATACTCTCCGGTCTCTCCAAAAGTTCCTTTCAATACTTGATTACTGTACTTTTGCTTCCATTACCACTGAACTCCATTACAGTTGCCCTTACAGGAACATATCTTTATAAATGCAAAAACCTTGCCCTGACTCTCTTAGGTGCTATTACAGTAGGGCCTGGTCTGGTTAAAATTTTTTTTAAAAAAAGGAAAGAGAGGAAAAAAAAGTAGAAACAACATGATAGGATGCTTGAAGCTGTGTCAACAGTAATGAAAAAGAACAATCTTACAAAAATTAGAATTAATTGTATACCTCTCTACATAGCATGTGAATTCCAAATTATACATCGTTAAGTTTTCATACATTTGGCTATGTTGTATATATTATATTATATATATATAGTCTATATATTATAGATCTTCTAGATAAATTGACAGTAAAGGACACGCTTATTTTATACATTATTTTCTGGGGTTAAAAATAAAACATATGCCTATTTATATGGTGAGTGTTTTACTAAAAATTAGTATGAATTGGGCTTTATATCCCTTTCCTTCAGGAATCATGCTTCTAATCAGTAATGATTAGAATGACAACTAAAAATAAATATATTTAAATGTCTGTTCAACTGTGAACTTTTCAGCTCATTTGGATCTCTAGACTGTAGTGCAAGAGTCAAAACAAAATAAAACAAAAAAAGCACAAATAAAATGGGCCTAACTAGGAAAAAGAAACAACCACGGAGTACTCCCTGCCTCCAGCCCAGAATATTCTTCATAGGAGAGCCCAACTGCTGTGCTCTCACTTGAACTTACTTGAATGGTGTGTGGCTGTGTAGTGTCAGCCACCTGTCTTCTGGGTATGAGAAATTCATATATTTCTCTTTAAAATGCTTTTACTTTCATCAAGAAATACAAATGAATTGTTCTTTCATTAATTTAAACTTCAGACCTACAAGTCAATAAAGGCATTCTTTGTATTCACATGAATAGGAAGTGATGTACTCAATATCTCCATGTTCTTATTAAGAAATGCCAAAATGTTTCTCTTAGATTTACTACTCATTAGTGCTAACCTTTTGGGTTTTTTTCTCTTTCCTCCTGAAAAACTTTGGAAGTGATAAAGAGAACAGTAATAGTTCAAGGCAGTATTAAAACCACAGCTCTAAGTGATAAAAAGTGCATTTTCTGAATATAATACAAATATAACTTTAAGAAACTAAAGGCACAAATTAAATAAATATGTATTTCAAACTAGAAATGCACAGTTCATGGTAATTACTACTAAGTAAAAGCTTCAAACACTTGTTTCTAATGGATATTTAAAGCAGTTTGAAAATGATACATCATCAGTGAATTGCAAAAAAGTATAATCGCTTAAAGTATAAGCAAAATAGACTCTAATATTGACATCTTGGATTAGTGATAAAATACATCATCACATTTATGAATGCACTCTTTATATACAGTTCATAAGTTACTTTTCCATTGATTTAAAAGAACATCAGAGGTTCTAGGAACTTAAGGTCCATTTTTAGGCTGGTGTGGAGGTATTCAAATGTTCAACAAGTTTGCTAGTAATTTTAGATCCTGTCCTGAATAAATACTATACCATTAACACAGGCCTGATTCAGGGAAAAAAAACCCCAATATGACTTCATCATGAATTCTTTCTCTCTCTTGGAATAAATGAAATGTCTGGATACACCCTCCCCTACTGTCAGCGGGCCCTTGCCTTTCTCTCACTCTACTTTGTGTAGTTAGGAGCCAGACTCTTTAAAAACCTTAATGTGAGCCTGGATTCTGACTGCATATTTTCAAAAAAGACTGTCATCACAAAGCAAGGCAATGACCCCACACTGCATTTAGCTAGTGGCTGGAAAGAATCCAAACTGCGACATTCCATCATAAATTCTCCTTCAGACATAGTGAGTGTCCAGACCTGGTGATGAAAGTGCTGAAGCTGGCTCAGGAGAATTTTCCACAGGCCACATTGTGCTGTCCTGTATTTTCATTTGTGGTAACTTACAATTGCACAGCAGTTTACAAACTGTCTCTTTGTCACTGGGCACAAAACTCCCAGCTCACCAAGGGGCTTCTTTTACGACAGGATTCATACAGATTGAGAAACTGCAGCTGATATTAACACTAATCCTGATCTTTTTCTGCATTTTAAATGATTGTAGAACAAAAGAACCCTTCCTGGAAAATAGCTATTTTCCTAGGCAGGAGAGATGATTAAATCAAAAATAAATGGGCAAAGACAGAGAACTAAAATAACTAACCATATAAATTATCTTAGTAAAAAATAGTCTGCCTCTCTATAATTAGTTGAAATGTTTTAGGTTGGAAAGGACTCACTTAATTAAATTTCCTGACTATGGCTGGGAGATGTTCAATACAGAATTGCACATTTGAAAGATAAATCTAAGTGGGGTGAAACAATGTGGCAGCAACTTCCCGTGATGTTTAGTTTGGTCTTCCCTTTGGTACTTTCCTTTCACCTAAGTACTATGTCTATTTTTTTTTTTTAAAAGGTTTTGGCTCTTATGAATTTCTGCAGTAGTAGTGAGTGTAATGTGTCGGCATCCCAGGCATGTATGCCTGTGAAAGCCTATTTTTTTTTTTTGTACCAGAATCACACTTTGTAGTAAATTACCTTTCATGTGCACAAAACCATTGGATTAGTGTATAAATACTGAATCACGAATGTGAAACTATGACCAAAACACACCCTATACATAAATGAGAAATTCCTACCCAGGTTAATAAAAGCTTTGTTTTCATGACACTAATACAGCTGGACAACTGAGTACAAAATGTAGTCAAAACAAGTTGGGTGGGAGGAGTTACATTGGCCAGCTGCCTTGGTATCATGTACACACGAGCAAATAGTGGCAGTTGGGTTTGGTGACCACACCCACAGGGAAGCGTGGTAGACAGAACCCAGCCACCACACGCCAAAACACAGCACAACAACATGGCATCTATTTCAACAAGCAAGGAGGAATCATCAGGGATGAAGGGCAAATGGGTCCTGACTCTAGGAGATGGTGGCCGAGGACATTTTACACTTCTTTCAAAGTTTCCTATAACAGATCTGGAACACGTGAAAGAGCTGGCAGTCTTTCGAAATGCAAGGTTCAGATATGATTGCACCACCTTTCAAATAGCCCGCAAGTTCTGCCAAAAACTGAATATGAAACCACGTGTCACAATAGACATAGAGAACCTTGGGTTCTTTCTTTATATTTGAACATCTGCATGGCTCCACAAATTGAAAGCGGTGCTTGCTGAAACATTTTTTTTTAGTTGTTTGAGTTCTACTTGTGTTATTTTGAATACTGCCACACAAGAACTAAAAATCTGTCATTTCTTAAAGAGGTTAAACAAACAATATTAAAATACCATCTTCCGTCACATTGAAAGGCAGTTGGATATGTTTCTCCTCCATATTTACATATACAGAGTTCTGATCTAGAAAACCAATACAATAAACCATTTTATGTTTTAAAAACAGGCAGTCTTTGGTGACGCAAAGGCAGAGATTTTTTTTGTTACCTCCTGCCTATTTCGCTCTGTCTCATAAAGTGAATATTGTTGGCACTGTCAGAAAGTTCTAAATACTGCTCAACAGACAAAACAAAATACCCATCATAACTTTGTACTCTCCCAGTGCTCAGCAGCTGCTGCTTTTCCCCCTCTGTCCATGCCCGGATACCCTCTTCCCCTTCTTGCAGCCTTCTTTGTTCCTTAGTCCAGGCCTGGGCCACAGCACGCTGTCTGGCGATCTCCAACACGTGATTCTTTTCCTCTTCGACAGTTGTCCCGTACCGGATGTTGAAGCACAGAGCCCCGTGCTGGAGCTGGATATCTGCAAACCGTCTAGTCCTCCCATTCAACACCGAAGTCATCTGGGACACGGTGACATTGACACCATTCTCCAGAATGCGCCTCCCCCCAGTGTTACCGATGAGCACCAGGTCTTCCTCCAGAGACCCAAGCTTAATGAAGTAGTGCGTGTCCCTCCCCTCTACGGTAAAATGTAGGTTTTCCAGGTAATGAGCATTATTGAGAATGGCAGCCAGCCGCCTGCTATCTTCATTGGCTACTCCTATAATATCTGCTGTTACTATGCCATCCTTGATGGCGAATTTTATACCTTTGCCGAAAACAGAAGGAACAGCAGCAAACCTTGGTTGCTTCCCTCCTTCAAGGCACCGTCCATCATTATATCGGGGAGTCATAGGAAGTTGGTCCAAGGAAATGAAATTCCTGAGCTGTTTCTGGAGCTCACACTGGATACCCAGGATGGTCTAGGAAAGAAGAAAGGCACAGAGCAAAGGCAGCAGACGATTAGACACCTAGCATACGCCTGGGGATTGTAGAAAGCAAAGGCTTGCCAGGTTGCTTCCTCCTCTCTTTAATCTGCTGGTTTGTGATTTAAAAACAAGCCAAATTTGGAATCTCTTCATCAGAGCTTTGGAAAAGACTAACAGGTGACTTGATCACCTGGCATATATTTCTTGATATCTTGGTGAGTTAAGAGTTAAGCATAAGCAAATACGTTAAAACTTGATACCATAGAATCACAAAGCTAAAAGGCACTTAAGTGGGTCTAGTTACCCCCAAACAAAGACATTTTATTTTTACCCATTCAACGGACACTGACTAGCTGTTTCTTATTGGATGTAGAGTAATACGTTAGCCACAGTGAGGTATAAAGAGACGGTATAAGGCATCATTCTTGCTTTCACGTAGCTTATGACCTTATAAATCACAAGGGCCAATCAGCAACTCCATGGATCTTTTTATGTGGATTAAAAAAAAAAAACACCTTTTTACTATGGCAGATTTCAAACATACTAAGAAATAAAGAGAAGAGAATAATGAACCTCCAAGTATCCATTACAAAGCATCAGAAATTTTCAAAATTTTGTTAAACTTTCTTCAGGACGTTTAATTACAAAAAGCATTTACATGTTATATGTATTTACAAAAAGGGATAAGCCTATAGTACTTATTTAGAATTTTGTTTCATTTATAATTTTTATACTTGAATTTCAAGCCCTCTCACCCAAGTTTCAGTTTTATTTTGTTAAAGCCATTTTTTTTTTTTTTTTGGCAAACACAGATATTCCTCTTTCTTTCAACTGAAAGATAAAGTTCTTTCTTGTTTTCATTTGTACCTCATTAAGTGATGGAATTATCTGCTGAACAT